AGGTCGCCACACTTCTCCTTTCGTTAATGAGAATGATGCAAGTGTATAACTCCAAACCCAGATAAAGTTAACATGCCTCTCCACTGTCAGTTGAAGCCTTCATGCTTCCTACTTCACAAAGCGGACATGTGGTTTTCTTTTTTGAGCTCACTGCATGAACTAAGCTTAAGCTCTTCCTCCACCAAGATACGGAGATGATGCTTCCTGTGCAGTCAATTCCTGCAGCTGCTGCTGCTGCTGGCTGTGGGCAAGAAGGTGGGTGTGCTCCTCCCCACGGTCCCTTTACATAGGGACCAAGTGAGATAGCACAGGATTCTCTCGGAAAGCATGATATAGTACACCTGTATTATAATGCACCGTATTAACCCATAAGATAGAGGTTACCTATCATGGAGGCTCAAAGAGCAGAGGTAGTAGAGTTAATGTACCTTATTAACCCATAAGATAGAGGTTAGCTATCATGGAGGCTCAAAGAGCAGAGGTGCAGTACCAGGAGCACTGGCCTCATCACACAGCTCCAGACTCCACTCTTTACTCTGAAACTCAATTGTATCACTTCGGACAAGTACCCTGACCTTCCTAGGCCTCAGGCACCACTTCTGCTAAACAGGCTAGTAATCCTCACAAGGTCACCGTGAGGATTAGAGGAAATAGCGTGTATAAAGTTTGCACCTGGCAGCCAATGTGTAGTGATTGCTCCCTGTCAGCTAGTCATTCCAATTCTTATGCAGGGGGATAGCCAGAAAGGACTAGAAAGGCAGTCAGATAAATCATACTCAGAGCTGTGCTCCCCTCACACCCACCCCCTGCCCTAAAACTCAGCAATGACTCAGGCTCAATGGGCTGGTTGCGTATGAACTGCCTGCTTATTACATAAGTTGTATAAACCTCCAATACACCCCTCATAACGCATAGGACAAGCATTTTAGAAATATGAGCTCCCAACTCCCTAAGCCCAAAGTGAAGAAAATTCCAAATAGTACATATGACTGGGGAGAGTAAATGACCTTCATTCGCTTATAGCCATATTAAAGTTAGTTTGCATTTCTATGCATAGATCTTCTGACAGCAAAAGAAAGCTGGATGTCTGAAGAATATTATTTGGAGATTTAAAAGTCACCATAGATAAGCCACTTAACAGATAAGGGACAACACAGACAGGAAATAAAACAACTAGATGTAAATTCTAAAGCATTAGTAAATAATAAATTATGGCACTAAGTAGCAAAAGTGATCGAGGGGGCCTTTTACTATAGAATAACCCAAAGAAGAAGAACCTTTGAAATGTAAGTATTGACTGAGAAAAAGGATATCTATTCTTTGCAAAGGAGGGTTAAACTTGAAGTAAAAGATATTCCAGAGAGATGTGATATGTCTCTGTTGATGGCAGATGCTCTTTTGGCACCTTACAACTGTGGAATTGTGTCCCCAGGCACACTGAAGTAGACAATTAGAAGCCTGTTCCCAGGGAGTTTTTATTTTATAAAAAGAAAGCCAACCTGAAGTCTGTCTTGAAGTGGCTTTCAATGGTAGGACACATGAGCTCAGAGATTTCATTAAACATTACAGCAGTCTGTGTGCCTATGATGCCTAGGTGCCTTATATAGCAATCAGATTTTAATTTCTAGAAAACAGTAAAGATTTACCGAGGGCCAGAACACCATCTATAATAGTATTTGGATGATAATTTAAGAAAGCCCCCCAAATACCATGGCCTTTCGAGGATTCCCAACATTTGGGGCTCAGGCCTGAAGTTCCACAGGCTGTGAAGAGACATTTAATGAAGTATTATGTGTAGACCCCTGACACAAGTACTGAGGCCTTAAGGAAGTGTGCTTATTTAATGTGAAGGATAAATCACTTCCATTTCTGAACACACAATTTAATATGAAGCCAAGTGCAAAGCCTCTCTCTTTCTGCCCAAGGGGAGCTCTCCTGCTGGGGCTGACTTCATACTCAGGGGCGATGCTGTCTGTGGATTGATTACTGCTGCTTGTGGTGGTTTGCTTGACTGTGTGAGGGCTGCTGCAGCTACACGCACAGGCAGGAAGCAAAACAGAGAGCACCAACCTCCAGTGTAAACTCTGACATTACACCAATTTTTCTTCTTGATCCTGTGTATATATATATATATGAACAGAGAAGTAAAAAGCAACAGAATTCACTTCAAATTGAAGGAGAAAACTCACTTCACCTTCTGGTGCATCTACCACGTAGTAGGAGGTATGGAGCTATGGGTGAGTTAATTAACAATAATTATGATGATAATAATCGTTCCCAGTCATGGAGATCTCAGCTGTGGGTGCCATTCTGCATACTTTCATCCTTAAGCTTAGATTTCCTCATCTGTAAATTAAGGATAATAATGCATCTATTTCATTTGCAAGTTGAGGCAGCGGGTCACAAAGATCAGTTTGAACACAGCCATGAGTTAAAATCCTAGCTCCAAAAAGTATCCAGAAAGTATCCAATGTACTCAGCCCTACCATGAAACTAATTTATAGCTTTCATATAAAAACTATAACCCAATTATAGTCCAAGAATATGGAGAAAGAGGAAAGGGCAGGGAGGGGAGGAGGGAGGATGGGTGGAGGGAAGGAAATTGGTGGGATCACACCTACAGTGCATCTTACTAGGGTACATGTGAAGCTTACTAAATGTAAAATATAACTGTCTTAACATAATAACTAAGAAAATGCCATGAAGGCTATGTTAACCAGCTTGATGAAAATATTTCAAATTGTATATAAAACCAGCACATTGTACTCCATGACTGTATTAATGTACACAGCTATGATTTAATAAAAAAAATTTTAAAAAATCTTAGCTCTAATTTCTACTATTTAATCTCAATGAGCTTTCATTTCCTCATCTCTATAGTGGAGATGAAGCCATCTACCTCATAGGACTATAGTGAGGAACTGAAGGAGACAGTAGATCAAACACCAGCTGGTGTCTGTATCTCCAGGTGGTGCCCAATAAATATGTACACTCTCTCCTATTATATGTGTGACACAGCAGCTGGGAAATGTCCATAGTATCCAAGGATACATTTCCCTTCATAACAATGTTAACTTTACCTAGAGCAAGCTTAATATGCCAGATTCCTGGCTCAAAGCTTTACATCTACGAACTCATTTATTCCTTACCACAATCCTATAAGATAGGTGCTACTGTTATCCCCATTTTACAGATGAAAACGTGAAGGCAAAGAGTTTGGGTAACTCGCCCAGTTTCAGACAAAAGGTACCAGAGCCAGTAGCCTGGCTCTGGAGCCAGTCCCCCTAAGCAGGATGCAACAGTACTTATTGGGTCCATTTGTTTGAGGTTCCATACTTAGAAGGACTATCTTCCAGAAGTAGGCACTGGCTGCTCTCACAAACAGCAATGCGTTGACTTGACTAACTTTTCAACTTCTGAAATAACATTTTGTATATTTTCTTAGAATTCCTAAAAAAAGCCCTACATTTAAAATAAGGTGCCTATAACTAGTTCATCTTGTTCTAGATGCAGGAATACCATAAATAAATGCACTTCTCTCTCTAAAGATTACCTAAAAAATCTTACATTAAAATATACCACTGAGTTTTGCTTTAAACAACGATTTTAAGTCTAAATTAAATAGATCACAGTTTTAATGTGACCTGTTGTATTAAACTAATGACTTCTATGCAAATATTCCACTTAGTTTTTTTAATATTCACTATCTAATATACTGTACATTGTAGACTGTTTACCATATACTGTATGGCATTTTAAAGCACAATTCCTTTTACAAATCTAATCAACTCAAATATTAAACATCAATGATGATAATCCATTGCTCTACTTAAAAGGAAAGCTCTAGGGGACGGCTGGGAAAGAAAGGTTAAAGATTTCTATCCTTCACAGTAGAACACTGCAGCTACCTATAAATCATGCTCTTTGTTTATTAAGATAATTAAGCCCATCAGCACACTTAACTTTCAGACTCAACAACTGTCTGGCAGGAACAATTTCCACTTTTTCTAAAACAAAGGGGATGTGTTGAAAAAGGGGTCCTCTGCATGCTCTCTGCACAATGCATGCTATTTTAAAACATGATTTATGTGTCTAATTCCTGGACCTGCCTTGAAAAATATACTGGGTTCTTCCTCCCTTGCACCCTATTAGGAGAAGACACACTCCAATTTGAAGAGTGCCCGGTTTCAGACTACAGGCAGCTATATCATGTCAGCATTTTCATTAAACACTGTTCAAGCTGGACTTTGAACAAATGTTATGAGAACCACAGCTGCAGCCACTGCAGAGAGACAAAGTTATCCAGCCAGGAGGCTTACATAAGAGGTGCAGGACAAGCACGGTGAAACCCAAGGGTCATCATCTGAATTCTATTTTCTTGAGACTTGCCCACATTCTTAAAGTGTATGAAATCACATGCACAGAGCGTTTTTCTCATTTCAATTTGCCTTAGAGCAGAAAACACCAGGTTGGTATATAAGTTGTTTTTTTCCCTAAAGGACTGGCCTCCAATTATGGAAACGCTGGCAACTTCTGCCTTAGGGGAAGAGTAAAATGGGATGCGCGGGAAGCCTGCAGGCCTGAAAGGAATGGTTTAGCTCTTCTTCCCAAAGATTCATAGCAGCGCCGGGCATCCAAGGGGAGTCATTCCCCGAGGACTGAGGATGGAGGTGAGAAGACCTCTTGGACCCCTCCCCCAAACACATACACACACACACACACACACACACACACACACACACACAGAGTTAAGGAGCTCGGAATGTTCTATTAACAAGCAGCAGGCTAAATGTCCTCAGAGCACCTGTCCTCTCCCAGCGCATTTCCAACTGGCATATTTGTCAGGGGCTGGGGCCAGCCAGTCCTGGACTCCAGACTCTCCCCGTGTCTGACTGCAGTATCTCCTTTTTCCCACACTGCACTTTCTCACCGAGCTGGAACACTGCTAACAAGAGGTGCCACCCCCGTCTTCCCACAACATAAAGATAATAAAAACGAACCTTTCCTTCCCACGGCTCCCTCCAACTTCAGAAACTCTAGTCAACTTACGGGGACTCAGGAGGCAAGGAGTCTTCTTGGGGGACGGCGCTCCACAGCCTCGCAAACTCCGGTGCGCAGCCCCGCCGGCTCCCGCACTGCCCCGCACTGCCCCGCCGCAGCGATGGGTGCAGGATGAGGAGCTACGGGCTCTGCACCAGCCACCTCGCCTCAGTCGTGCCCGACGCCGGGCACTGGTCCGGGCGCACTGCCCGGCGACGGCCGCGGCAACTGAGGCTGCAGCCTGCCGTACGGACCCGACCGCTGCGGCTGCCGCCGGCCCCGGAGTGCGAGCCCCTGGCGCGTGTCTCCGGCTCCAAGGGAATCACTGCTCAACAAGAAAGCCGGCACGAGAGAAACCGACGTGCCGCCGCCGGCAGACGGCCAGCTCTCTGCCAATCGGCCGGTCGCATCGCGGGCGCGCCGGCGGGCGAGCGAGCGGGCGGGTACCGCAGTCCACACTCGCCGCCGCGCCGCGGAGAATGACAGGCGGCGAGGCGGAGCAGCAGCGCGGGGCGCGGGGCGCGAGTGCGCATGATCGCGGCCCGCTGCGGCACGTCACGGGGAGGCGGGGCGGGGAGCAGGGGCGGGGAAGGGGCGAGCCGGGCGGGGCCGGGGTGGGGGCCGTCTAGGGAGGCGACCGGCGGTGTGGGCTGCTCCGCAGGAAGACTGCCTCCTCGGGTACTGTAAACCTAAAGCTCTGTGGTTGAACCTGCTTTTCTTTGGAGTCCATTGTTCCTTGAAAAGCACCGTTTCCTCTAAGCGGTCCTTAAGGTTGCGGGCGAGCTTACAAAAGCCAATTTTCCTAAGCTTACAGCTTACCCATGAAGAGTTGTGAGTTGAGGGGCAATGGTCCTCTATTGTGGCTGTACACTAAAATAAGTTCGGAAGCTTGTAAGAGCCCTTTGCCCTGGCCGCACCCTCGAAGTACAGGAGAATCTCTGGGCGGGGTCCAGGTATCAGTAGGTTGTAAAGCTACCTCAAGATACCAAGGTCCAGCAATGCTTCTCAAACTACTGTGGGACACAACCTCGTGGGGATTTTACTAAGATGCAGATTCTGATTCAGTAGGTTGGGGAGCGAGAACAAGGGGTGTTTCTTCATTTCTAACAAGCTTTCACACGTCGCCATTGTTGTGGTTCCAGATCACCCCATCATTACTACTCAAAGTGTGGTCTAGAACCTGGAGCACGGCTTCTGAAAAGTTGGCCTGCCTGATGGTCACCCCAGGAGCTGCCAGTTACTAGGGAGGCTGAGGCAAGAGGATTGCTTGAGCCCAAGACTCTGTGAGCTATGATGCCAGGGCCATTCTACTAAGGACAGTGAAGTGAGATTTCTCAAAAGAAAAAAAAATACAGAGCCAATGGCCAGGCCCTACTCACTGTGGTAATGGTTCTGGGTCAGTGGCTGGGAATGGTTTAGCTCTGGAATTCCATGTGTAATAAGCACTCTACATAACCCTATTTGGTTTTGTTTGGACCAAACTACAGATTTACACAGCAACCTGGTGTGGGAACAGACTTGTGTGTGACAAAGAGCCAAGCCAGGTCTAGAACTCAGAACAACCAACTCCAAATCCAATGTGTTCTAAACCAAATGGTGCTTTACCTGACCAGTCCTAGTTATCTACAATGATTGCGAATTACTTAGCAGGAAAAAAAAAGATGTAAATGGTATTAAACATACATACATACACTTTGTCAAACACTAGTTCTGCATATCATCAGAGGAGGCTTAAACTTGGAGAAGAGGTTCACTTGGGAGGGAGTAGGGAGCAGAGTGATGTAATAAGGGATGGTAGTGTGTTGCAGAGAGTGTGGAGGAGGAAACCAACTTCATACTCAAACTAAAGCTTGGATAGGCACTTTGGGGAAGAAAAGCCGGGGATCAGACTTCAGAGCATGGTGTGAAATTCAGGCGTTTAAGAGCTTTTAAAGGCATGGCATTTCACATCTGTTACCTCATTGAAATCTTACCATAGTCTCTTAAATTGAATAAAAAATAAATTATGCCCATTTTACAGATTAAAGGTGACACACTTTGAACATTAGTTGACTGTTCAAGTGGAACTTGAATAAAAGCACGGATCTTAGTGTAGGACACGGCTTCTATAACTCTAAGGAAAACAACAATTCAGCTCTCATAAAGCAAATGGTTTCTGAGTTTGCTAGTCTCTCTCTCTCTCTCTTTTTTTTTTTTTTTGCAGCTTTTGGCCAGGGTCGGGTTTGAACCCACCACCTCTGGTATATGGGGCCGGTACTCTACTCCTTTGAGCCACAGGCACTGCCCTAGTTTCATCTTTTAAAGGCTTGTACCTTTATTTTCTGTTCAGAAGGCTTTCATTCTTGTAGGGAGGAAATACATTTGTGTCTTCATCCCACTTCTGCAGCTCCACATCTTGGATTTAGAAAATGTCTTTCTAAGAGCAACCTAGTCCTAGGACATTGCAGTTACACGATGCGGGCTTCATCGAGGACTTTGAAAGGGACATATTCTGGTGACAAGATAATTACCCTCCTTATTTGACCCAGGCCTAGAAGCTAAGTAATTTAGACAAAATCACTAATCTGAGCAGGGGCCAGTTTCAAGCCTCTGTCTTTTTCCTTTGCTCTTTTCATCAAATGATATACCGACGATTGTTTTTCATTTATAATTTTTTCATACCAAGATTTGACATCAGGTTATTAGAACCCAAATGCACTTCAAAGCCATAACTTAATATAGAACCAGAAGTGTCAGGAACACTTGTGTGCTTGTGATTAGATATAAGCTGTATTTCCAATCTGAGTAAGCTTTCAGAAGGAAGTATGTGATATTTATTTGCAGTCTTCTAATCCAGAGGTTTGCCTTGAAATGCTGTATTGTTAAAATGCTGTGCCACCCACCTGCATCTTTACTTCTCTTTTAACTTTTCATTAGAGCTATTCTTTTGTGTGATTATGAAGTAAAATTAAATAAATTCCTAGTAGAAAGAGATTCTCTGTAAATGAAGGAGCTGGCCCAACATAGGTTATAGTATTTAGCTCATTTTTTAATAAGAAATATTTGAAATAGGCCAGGTGCAGTGGTTTCTGCCTATAATCCTTGGCAGCTAAGGCAAGAGGATCACTTGAGGCCAAGACTAGCCTGGGCAACATAGCAAGACTCTGTCTCTACAAAAACTTAAGAAAAAAATAGCTAGGGATGGTAGTGCATACCTGTTATCCCAGCTACTCAGGAGACTGAGGTGGGAGGCGTGCTTAAGTCCAAGAGTTCAAGGTTGCAGTGAGCTATTATCGAGAGTCAACCTGGGAGATGGAGTGTGACTCTATCTTAGAAATAAGCAAACAAACAATAGAAATAGTTTAAATAAAAAAAAAAACTATTAAGGTGGCAGAATAGTCATCTTGGGACTTCTAGAAGAAGAAACCAAACTCGTCATTCTGAGGGTTTATTTTTTCTTGATACTAGAAACTCCAGTCAAAACATTTGTATCTATAATATTTGAATTCATTCCATATTGACTTGAAGAGATTTAAGATTTAATTACACAAATCTTTAATTAGTATGTCCCACTGCCATTTTATCTGCACCATTATTATTAGCATTAAAGGTATAAAATGTATAATATTGCCTTGAAACTATTTTGACTGTGTCTTAATATTGACCGTCTGACCGTCTGCGTTTAGAATTTGTTTCACTTTAGCTGCTATTGTTGTCTGGCACCAATAGCAGCTACAGTTTTTTTTTTTTTCTCTGAGGTCTGTATTCCTTTTGGGTCAGCAAAGCCTGCTCTTTGGCTGAGAATTTCTTTCTTCAATGCCTCTGAAACCCCAGTAGTGAGGTTTTCAATTACACAGACACATATGACTCCACTGAACCCCATTAAACCCCTCATTCAAGAAGCTGTTCTAGGATAGGTAAATTCTTTCTGCTAAAAATCATAGACTCATCACTAAGCTGGAAAGTTTTGTCTCAATAATTCTCCACCTTTATTAATTACATTTCTTTTTTTCCTTTATTTTATTGTTTGGGATTCATTAAGGGTACAAAAAACATTACATTTTTTAGATGAAAGCCCCTCTTATAATTGTGTCCCACCCCCAAGAGGTATGCCATAGACTGTGACCCCCATCCTCCTCCCTCTTCCTCTCTCCCCAATTGCTCATTCCCCTAACCCCCCTTGTATTAACTCATCTACTGCCTTCATATTAGAATAGAGTACATTGGATTCTTGCTTCTCAATACTTATGATGCTTTACTATGAAGAATGTATTCCACTTCCATCCAGGTTAATACAAACTTTTTTTATCCATTTCACTTAAGGCAATTCTTGGCTCGAAAATCTTCAGTCTCTGCCTAATCCATAGACAAAGTCCAGAAGATAGGAGAACTGTGGGGAGTCCAAGATGACTGGTGGGGCTGAGATAGAGTCAAGAGCTAAGAATTAGATGCTAGTGGTGAAAAATAAGCTTGCCATAAAAATTAATACAAATTGTGTTTGATTTTTGAACATGGCTTATTATGGAGTTTGCCTTGTTAGAACACATGCAGCAGCTGATAACTTCACTGGAAATCATAGCTGAATCCCTGGTGGGTAGTAAGGGGCCAGGTGGGGAAATTAGCATTCTATCTTTTTTCCAGAGAAACTTTTGAAAACTATTGGAAAGTGCACTTCCTGCCCTAACAGAGGACACTTATGAAGTGCCTGCATTTCAAATATTCATGTCAAAATTATTCCATTTAAAAGTTAGAGCAGCCAATATAATGAAAAATCAGGATTTTCAGGTTAACCCCAAAAATGCTTTTTAAAACTTATATTAACAAATAAGTTAACAGAGTGTGAATTATAATGCCAAGCCTGAAAAGAAATAGGTGTTGGGTAAGGATTCTGGCTGGAGGTAAGAGTGGCACTAGGGGCAGGAGACGGTGGAATTTAGAAGTGGAGAAGACGACTAAAAGTGGCTTTTGGTGGTTGAGAAGTGGAGAGTGACGGAGACCAAATATCAGCAGCTACTGAGATCAGGTTGGGAGAAGACCTGGGACCAAGAAGAGAAATAGCAGTGAGACTGTACTGGCCACACAGGACTTACCTGAAAGGAAAGAAATGAGAATTCCATGTTTGATTTGATCTATAGGAAGGAATAAACAGAGATCATCAAATGGATTATAAATTCCTTAAAATCTGTCCTACATGCATCAAAGAACGATTACAGAAATGTACATTCAATTTCAGTCTCTAAGAACTACCGACTCCTTCCTTCCAATGGAGTTTCCCTGTACTAGGAGAGAGCAGCCTGAGGGAGGGGCCGAGCAGCCCAGTGGGAACCTCATAGGCTGTCTGGTAGCATCGCCATCTCTCACCCGCGCGCACGCGGCTGCCGTCTTTGATTACTGAACACAAAGTAACAAGAGCTGAAGCACATGTTAGGCTCCTAATAAATGCTCTGTTAGTGGAGTTCTTTC